TGTGTTTTTCTGGAGCGAAGAGAGAGACCTGCAGTTATGTTTGACATTTAAAAGAGTTTGTGGTTCCCATTGTGCTGAAGAGTCTCTACATGAATGAATTCTACACAGTTATTAATATTGCTCACTGTTTTAACATTAGTTTTGTAATGTACTGACAACTGTTAGCCTCGTTTCTTTTAGCGTGTTCATTTTTGATAGTCTTTGCTGGAAACATGCCATGAAATGTGCCTAAACAAACTGAGAGCACATTATTACCTTCATTTGTCATTGAATGCCAAACGGCAGATTTAATTTGACTAGACAGTTGGAATATCATTAGTTCCATGGAGGAAACCCCCACGTGAATAGAAATGATATTTATGAGTGTTAAATGCAGCAGTTAGACTAATGTGTAATGTCATTTCTTTATTTCCCATTGAGGTTATTCGTAAATTGCTGCTGAAGTTGGTGTCGATAGTGACAGAAACGACATACTTCACTCTTAATGTTTATTATCAATTACATACACTCTCAGAAAAATAGGTGCAAAAGTTGTCACTGGGGCGGTGCACCTTTGTACCTAAAGAGTCCATACTAGTACCTTAACGGTACAAAAGTGTGCCTTTTGAAAAGGTACCTTTTTTTCTGAGAGTGAAGGATGGAAAAACCTGAAGGAGTAGTTCACTGCTGACAAGATGGGCTTTTAATAAAACTTGATATCTAGGTGCAGATATCACGCAGAATAAAGCAATAAGCCCCAAGAAGCCGTGGTTTACAGTGAATTTATAACAGTTAAGGGGCATTGTTAGGTACGACGTGAAGCGGAGGCTTATTGCTTTTATAGAACGGTTATTGCATATACGTAGTAAGGCTTCACAGAATAAAGCAGAGCAAATAAAGTGTAATGATATTAATAAACAGAGTATTCTTCCACCAAACAATGTAGCTCCTCAGAAACAGTTGTGGTTGCTACAAAGTGGTTGCCGAGCAACACACAAACGTAAACAAAGGTGTGTGTTACTTTGTAGAGTCATTTACAACAGCTTCGAACGCGGCTCAGCCAATCAGAATCAAGCACCGGAACTCTCGGTTCCAGTAACGATACAAAGCTGGGTCAAAATCTGTGAACTTGTCATTCAGTGAATTCTTCTGCATGTGTGTATGTGTGTAAGCAAACAAACGATGCAACTGCCTTCTGTAATGCACTCCTGCAGGTGGTGTACAAGAACAACGACTTCAAGCTGGAGCTGTCGCGTCTGGCCATCGAGAGGGACCCTAAGATCAGTGTGCACGGGGAC